AGTATGTGAACCCCTAGACTAATGACATCTCCAAGAGCCAATTGGAGTGAGATGTCAGCCAACTGGAGTCCAATCAATGAGATGAGATTGGAGGTGTTGGTTACAGCTGCCCTGCCCTATAAAAAACACACACCAGTTCTGGGTTTGCTTTTCACAAGAAGCATTGCCTGATGTGAATGATGCCTCGCACAAAAGAGCTCTCAGAAGACCTACGATTAAGAATTGTTGACTTGCATAAAGCTGGAAAGGGTTATAAAAGTATCTCCAAAAGCCTTGCTGTTCATCAGTCCACGGTAAGACAAATTGTCTATAAATGGAGAAAGTTCAGCACTGCTGCTACTCTCCCTAGGAGTGGCCGTCCTGTAAAGATGACTGCAAGAGCACAGCACAGACTTCTCATTGAGGTGAAGAAGAATCCTAGAGTGTCAGCTAAAGACTTACAAAAGTCACTGGCAAATGATAACATTCTTGTTAGCGAATCTACAATACATAAAACACTAAACAAGAATGGATTTCATGGGAGGATACCACAGAGGAAGCCACTGCTGTCCAAACAAAACATTGCTGCACGTTTACAGTTTGCACAAGAGCACCTGGATGTTCCACAGCAGTACTGGCAAAATATTCTGTGGACAGATGAAACCAAAGTCGGGTTGTTCGGAAGAAACACAGCACACCAACATCAAAACCTCATCCCAACTGTGAAGTATGGTGGTGGGGGCATCATGGTGGGGCTGCTTTGCTGCATCAGGCCCTGGACGGATTGCTATCATCGAAGGAAAAATGAATTCCCAAGTTTATCAAGACATTTTGCAGGAGAACTTAAGGCCATCTATGTACCAGCTGAAGCTCAACAGCAGATGGGTGTTGCAACAGGACAATGACCCAAAGCATAGAAGTACATCAACAACAGAATGGCTTAAACAGAAGAAAATACGGCTTCTGAAGTGGCCCAGTCAGAGTCCTGACCTCAACCCGATTGAGATGCCGTGGCATGACCTCAAGAAAGCGATTCACACCAGACATCCCAAGAATATTGCTGAACTGAAACAGTTCTGTAAAGAGGAATGGTCAAGAATTACTCCTGACCGTTGTGCACGTCTGATCTGCAACTACAGGAAACGTTTGGTTGAAGTTATTGCTGCCAAATGAGGTTCAACCAGTTATTAAATCCAAGGGTTCACATACTTTTTCCACCTGCACTGTGAATGTTTACATGGTGTGTTTAATAAAAACATGGCAACATTTCATTCTTTGTGTGTTATTAGTTTAAGCAGACTGTGATTGTCTATTGTTGTGACTTAGATGATGATCAGATCACATTTTATGACCAATTTGTGCAGAAATCCATATCATTCCAAAGGGTTCACATACTTTTTCTTGCAACTGTATATTTGATTGTATATAATAATATCATGTATATAAACTGATGTTATTACTCGTATCCCACTGGATGATTGTATTTATAGAGTTCATCCCCTGTTTTATTATTATTATTTTATATATTTTCTGTATTTATTATTATTATTATTATTGTATCTTATTGTGTAAATGATTACATAGTTATTTGAAAAATCTTCAATAAACATATTTAAATAAGGAATACAGGTTTGTGTTTGGTCCGGGTTTTAAAGTCATCCATCCTACATTCCGCTGGCTGTGACAGAAGGTGACCACTTGCAGATGGGGCAGAAGAATAAAAAGCCAAGGCAGGACTGGCCCGGGTTCACGGGGCTGATATCGGCGAGCTGTTCAGGAGGCTGCATGGTGTGAGTAGGCCAGAAAAGGTCGGCTGACCTGGACGACATTTTAGACAGACCGGAGAATATGCGCTGAAAGTACCTCATTCCCTGTCACTACAGAGATCATCACAAGCCTTCTTGCTGATCTCTGCAAGAGCCTCTCAGCTGACATATCCCAAGTGCGAGAGGATGTCAGAGGCTTCATTATTATTATTATTATTTATATAGCGCCATCAGATTCCGTAGCGCTGTACAATGACATTACACGCCTAACCACGGTAGAACACACCACTAAGGCACAAACTATGCAAATCTCAGAATTGCAGAGGCAGGTGAGAGATTTTACTTCCTAGCTCACTTTTGATACCCAACTGGCGGCCCTAGAAGATAAGAGGAGGAGGAATATCTGAGGGCTTCACTATGGCTGAAATGCCACGTTTTCTGTGATGGCTATTTATGGCCCTGCTAACTCTTAAATCAGCAAGGGGCATTCAACTGGATGGCATGTTTCGCCTGCCCACTCCACAGTCAAACCAGACCAATTTCAAAATGGGCAAGATAGGGCAGCCATCTTGAACACCAGCAGAGGGAAGACCCCCATATAAATTCAAAGAGAAGGAACTCTCTTGCTCAGCTTTGCAGTAGAGGAAATCAGTTAGACCTCTAACTACTCGTCCTATGGCCTTAAATACTGTTGGGGTGGTCTCTGCACACTGCTATTCCAGTACAATGGCACAGAGCGTAGGGTGACCTTTAGCCCAACTTCTCAACCCACTGCCACTACCTGGGATCCAGCCAACATCACACCATTTACTCTGTCACTTAGTGGAGTGACTAACGTGGCGATCACCTGACTTGGACAACTTATCTGTTGGGACTTGTACCTTTTCTTTTCTTTCTTATTCTAAGCCATGGGTGAGAGTCCCGTTGAGGCTGACACTGGGCATGCTCAGACCCAGTTAGCTTCATTGCTTCTACCACCTACCCCCAGCTCCAAATGGTTCCATCTCTCCCGCAATCTTTAAGAAGAGCTGCTTTATACAGTATCTCACAAAAGTGAGTACATCCCTCACATTTTTGTAAATATGTTATTATATCTTTTCATGTGACAACACTGAAGAAATGACACTCTGCTACAATGTAAAGTAGTAAGTGTACAGCCTGTATAACAGTGTAAATTTGCTGTCCCCTCAAAATTACTCAACACACAGCCATTATGTGGAAATGTCCAAATTGGGCCCAAAGTGTCAATATTTTGTGTGGCCACCAGTGGCGTCTCTAGGATTCATTTTTCGGGGGGGCACATGGAGGGCCAGTGACAAAAGTAGGGGGGCACATTTAACCCCGCCCTCGCCGCAGTTTGACCCCGCCCCTGTCACATGTTAAGCCACGCCCCCGACACAATGTGTTTTGTTTTTTTAATAATACCTGGTGGAGGATTCATTATTTTCCACCAGGGATTATTTAAAAAAACAAACACATTATCCTTGATACAGTGCCATAGTTGCCAACATTTGAAAAAAAAATTCCAAGGGCATTTTGCAGAACAGCTATCAATTACTGTCTGGGTATAATATACCTGGACAGTCAGTGCTCTCTGTATAATACAGGGTTGTGTGTATAATAAATTGGGACACTCAGTGTTCCCTGTATAGTGCTGCTCTCTGTATAATACAGGTCTGTTTGTGTATACTATCCCAAGACAGAGAGCAGCACTATACAGGAAGCACTGACTATCCCGGGATATTTTATACACACAGATCTGTATTATACAGATAGCTGAGCATATACCCCAATCTCTAGACTACTAGTACCTGTCAACAGCAGCTCCCAGACGCGTGTAACAGGGCTAAAGTGTGCGGCAGCTCACACAGATTATTCAGCGGTAAAGTGCACTCGCTGGCAGAGCCAAACTGGGAATCCCTGGGAATCCAAAGCAGCCCTGGAAAAAAAAATGTATGCCATTCCTACAAGTCAAAAAATATATAAATATATATATATATATATATATATATATATATTACAGTAAGCACACAAGCTCACTGACATGCGCAAATAGGCTTACTGACAGACAAAACTCTCTGACTCACACACAAGCTTACTACAGACACTCACTTGTATAAACAGAAGGCTCACTACAAAGAAGTTCAGGGACACACACACAAGCTCACTAAAGACAAGCTCACTGACACACACATGCTCACTAAATAGAAGCTCACTGACACACACAAGCAGTACCATTTTAACAGAGTTAAGGGCCCCTGGGCAAAGCAATACACTGGGGCCCTTCCTACACAACAACTCACAGGAATTTTAATTATTGATAGACTGCGGAGTCCATACACACACACAGACTGCTGAGTCCATACACACACACACACACACACACACTGCTGAGTCCATACACACACACACACACACACACAGATTGCTGAGTCCATACACACACACACACACAGATTGCTGAGTCCATACACACACACAGACTCTGCTGAGTCCATACACACACACACACTCTGCTGAGTCCATACACAAACACAAACAGACTGCTGAGTCCATACACACACAGAGACTCTGCTGAGTCCGTACAGACACAGACTGCTGAGTCCGTACACACACAGACTGCTGAGTCCATACACACACACAGACTCTGCTGAGTCCATACACACACACAGACTCTGCTGAGTCCATACACACACACAGACTCTGCTGAGTCCATACACACACACACAGACTGCTGAGTCCATACACACACACACACACAGACTGCTGAGTCCATACACAAACACACACTCTGCTGAGTCCATACACAAACACACAAAGACTGCTGTGTCCATACACACACACACACACTCTGCTGAGTCCGTACACACACAGACTGCTGTGTCCATACACACACACACACACACTCTGCTGAG